ACGCTCACAATTCCCTTACACATACACCTCTCCACACCTTCACACACAAACCCCTCATGCACAAACCCCTCACATACCCTCATACACCCCTCACACTCCTTACACACACCCTCACACACACTCCCTCACCTCACACTTCTTGCACACACCCCTCACATACATACGTCCTTACACACATGCATCCCTCACCCACACCCCCATACACCCTCAAACACACCTTCACATACTCCTCACACACATACCCCTCATACAATTCTCACATTTGAATACACACACCCTCACACACACACACACATCCTTCACACACACACACACACACACACACACACACACACACAAAATATTGGCAGCCAAATTCACAGTATGGTGCATCCATCCCACCCTATTCCTGCACAAAGGGACATCTGCCCGCAGCTGTTCTTGGCCTACACTCAGAAACAGGGAGAGTGAGGAGGTCTTGACAAAAGGCAAAGAGTCAGAAGGGCTGGCTCCCAGGAGGCAAAGGCCTTGGCCCCTGAACTCCCTCATTCCCAGGCTGTGAAGATGTGGCCCATAGGCAGCTCTCATGCTAGCCTCTGAGCTCCTCTGGCCAGGGGTCCAGCCTCATCGGCTCGTCACCATCCAAGGACAAACCTGAGGCCACTGCCTCTTATGCTCCAGCTGGGAGTACAGGGCCAGGATCATTTTGGCAGTCACAGTTAAATGCAGTAAATTACCTCTTTTTACATGCCAGTGACTGGCATTAATAATTTTGCTTTCAGTAAATCCGTAAAAGAAAAAGTCAACAAGGAGACCCAAGAGGCGTGAATGGGTCAAATAGTCAGTCGAGGATGTGGAGTTCTCCCGGCAGCTGGGTCGGCATGATGAGGAAGCCTGTGGTTTCTAGGGACACCCCTCCAGGGGCTTCAAAATAAATTGCCTGACTCCGCCCAGGTTGGTATCCTGCTGCCTCTGGATCTTCTGCCACATTGCAGACTGGCACCAGGAACCTGTGTCAGCCCCAAGGTTCTATCCAGAGACCTACAATATGAGAGCTGGAATGTCTAGGCCAGATTCCAGCCAAACTCTGCATTTTACAAATGAAAAAACTAGGCTTCCAGAAGAGGAAATGACTTACCCAAAGTCCACAACTAGTTAGCGGCAGACTATGGACTGGAATTGCACTGGGTGGAATATTCCTCCCACCTCATCCCTGCCTCCTGCACTGCATGACAACTCCTAGTCATCCTTCAAGACACAGCTGGACGGGCACCTCCTCTGGAAAGCCTGGAAGCCTCCTCCTTCCTTCCAGTTAGAGCTCAAGACTCTCTCCTTCCACAGCCACAGTCTGTTGTACCAGACAACCTCGAGACTGAGCCCAAACCAGGCTGGAGCACTCTGGCTCCACCTCCACACAATGGACACATCGAATGAAGGAGGAACGTCTGGCTTATCTTTCATCCTCAGTGCCTGGTGCTTAGTAGGGCACAGTCAGTGTAACATTTAATTAAGTACACATCTCGATCAGCACCCACCACTTGACCCTCTCACTCTCTCTGTCTAAACAACTAAGATACTTACTCTCCATACCACTCAGTTCAACATTTAACAGCTTTCTAAATGCTTTTGTGTTCCTCACTAGCCCACAGGAGCTGGTACGCATGTGGCTGATTTCTCAGATGGCCTCGCCCAGTGGTCCTCAGCCTCAGCTGCAGGTTGGTATCACTGGGGCTTTAGCTCCATCACCCATATCTGGGTCCCACCCCAGGCCACCCCTCTGGGAGTGGGACCCAAGCACCAGAATTTAAATTCCCCAGGTGGTTCCAGAATGTAACCAAAGTTAAGAAACACATTCCTCGAAAAATATGATAGCAGACACTATTTGTTGATTCAGCCAATTCTGCGTATGTTCAAGTGATTGCAATTATGGAGAGAGACAGAGAGAGACACACACAGCATGACAGGGAGTAAACAAGAAAAAGCTGACTTGACAGTGTGGAAACCGGGTTCCTCTTCTTTGGCACTAGTAAAATTTTGGGCCAGATAATTGGGGGCTGTGGAGGCTGACCTGAGCCCTGGGTAGGATGTTTAGCAGCATCCCTGGCCTCTACCCACGGGGGGCCAAAGGCAACACCCCACATAGGTGTAGCAACCGAAAATGCCTTCAGATATTGTCCAACGTCCCTGGGGATGAGGAGGCATACTCACCCCTGGAGGAGAACTACTGGTGTAGACTAGCCACCCAATAATCGACTGCATGTTTGTTTCACATTTCAACTGTAAAACATACAACCACTTTTCCAAACTGGACTGAGTGCCTGAGGATTCTGGATCATGGATCAAGTGTCTCAGGGAGGGATATGGAGGACGGGATGGTGGCTCAGCAATAGGTTCTGAGGCAAGAAGGAGTTACAGGGAAACTAATCAGGTAGGTTCGAGCCAGTTAAGAGGAGCAGGTGGTGGTCAAGCCTATAAAAGATGAGCAAAACAAACCAGAAAAAGCCAGATATTCAGTAAAATTGCAAAGTTGGAAGCAAGCAGAGGGCTGTCAAGGATTAAGGGAGGTGATGACCACAAGTGGGAAAAGGCAAACAGAGGAGCTTTCAGAAGCTTCTGAGCAGGGGAAGGACCACACAAAGCAGGGTTTTAGGGCCAGAGTCTAGCCTGGCATGTAGGCTGGCATATGGACATGGTGCAGGAAGGGTGGGGGGCAGAGAGCTGGGCTGCAACAGTTCAAACCCACCTGTTCACCCGCACCTACAGTGCCTCAGTCAGGACAAAGCCTGTTATTCCACAGTCAGAGTTCAAAGAGGCAGGCACAGATGCTGTCACAGAAAATGTCAGGGGCAGATATAGGAGTCATCAGAGCTGCCTCTCGAGCACCTTGAGAAGGAGCTGCTGTTTGGGGAACCCTTTGACCAGCTCCCCCAGGCCCTGCAGCGTCCCTGAGGAAGAGCTGCAGAATGGCTGCTCCAGACATCATGCCAAAAGTACAGGGGGGCAGCCAGAGCCCCTCTCCAAGATCCCTCCCGGCAGGCATCCTCCTCCCCATCACAGCTATACATGCGCTGCCCCTCCTTCACCCGCCACCTTCTCCTAAGCCTCCCCTCTTGCCCTGCCACCCCCACTCTCTTGGCTTCTTAATATCTCTGCATTCCTTGTTAGCCCCTTCAGGGTTCCTCTTCCCCTGCTCACCTCCAAGTGTTGGTGACGGCCTCTTCTCTTCTAACTGTCTCAAACTCTCTAACACCCAGATCTGTACTCCCCCACCTGAAAAATCCTTCAGTTGTTCTCTACTGGACACAAGGTAAGATCCAAGGTATTCAAACCTGTCTCAATCTTGCCCTGCCCACCTCCCAGTCCCCTCCAACCTGGCACTTAAATATTCTGAGCTACCTCTTATTCTACAGAAAAAAAAAAAAAAAATTAAAAGCCACATCTATCCTTAACCGCCTGAAGTCATTTGTTCTTAAATCATACTGCATAGCAGCCATTTGCTTACTTCTGTCTCCACCACAGATTCTAAGCAGAAATCTACAGCCCCAGCACCTAGGGGGTTCCTGGTACTTAACACTCAGAGAAGTACTTACCATTTGCTGAGCACTTTCTAAGTGCTTTCCTAAGAAGTACTTTGTTTTATCATCATAAAATAGTTATTTTACATTATTATTTATAATAATATTATAGTAATATCAGCAATAGTATGTATTATTCCCATTTTATAGATGAGAGTACTGAACTGCAGAAATGTGAGGGAACGTCCCTAAGGTTACCCAGTTAGGAAACAGGGAGATTCAAACCCAGTCTGACCCCAGAGTCAGCACTCTTCGTCACTGTGCAATATCGTATCTTGGTAAGAGCTTTTCAAATGAAATAATCAAATTATCCATGTGATTTTGCAGTGAATGAAGGCACATGCTACTGCAGCTCCTTCTGGGCCTCAACATGGAGATGCAGGGAAGAGTGGATAAGCATCGCACCCAGATGAAGGGGCCAGAATGGGAGACCAGCAAGACAGAAGTTCTAACTTTGCCGCATCACTGCTACTTCCCTTCACTGGGTGGGGGTAAAATGCCACCAAAGTCAATATCATTTTAGCAACAGGAGGGACCAAGCCAGGCCTAAACTGGGTCCATGGCCAGCGTGGCGGTATCTGGTAACATCCACTCAGAGAGGGAGCCTGGGTCAGAAAGACTAGGCAGGTGGATACCATGACCCTACGGGGCAGAAGTAAGGCCAGAGACCACAATCAGAGGGATGAGATTGGAGCCCTCTCAGGCAGCTGGGGCAGACATTCTGCCTGCCTGGACAGACCATCATTTACCAAGGATGCTGGTCCAGCCTGCCCCAGGGCCCAAGGGAAGAGGTAAGAGATGGGGTTAGCATTGGCTAAAGGGAACAAGCTCCCGGCAGGCAGGACAGGAGTGACACTCAGCAGCCCTCTCCAGATTCTGGAACTCCCACCATCAGCCTCATTATTCCTATTTTAAATTACCCTGTTCACAACAGGTGAGTCGGGCTGGCACCTCCAGAGGAGAAAATGCATAGGTAAAAGATTGAGATTGCATGTATCTTTACCTGAAACTCTAACTGAACCCCCAACTAGCAGCCCATGCTGGAACCAACACCTAGCTTCATAATGAATGGCATTCACATGATCACATTTTCTTTTTTTTTTTTTTTTTTTTTTTTTTTTTTATGGGACGGAGTTTTACTCTTTTTACCCAGGCTGGAGTGCAACGGCGCGATCTCGGCTCACCGCAACCTCCGCCTCCTGGGTTCAGGCAATTCTCCTGCCTCAGCCTCCCGAGCAGCTGGGACTACAGGCACGCGCCACCATGCCCAGCTAATTTTTTGTATTTTTAGTAGAGACGGGGTTTCACCATGTTGACCAGGATGGTCTCGATCTCTTGACCTCGTGATCCACCCGCCTCGGCCTCCCAAAGTGCTGGGATTACAGGCTTGAGCCACCGCGCCCGGCCCCCACATTTTCTTTAAAACTGCCAGAGCCAAGCACTCACCCGCATTGGCTCGTCAGGGAATCCGGGTTTGCGTGGTCTATCCTGTCGCCGAGATCTTAGCAGCTGTTTGGCCTGCTTCTCCGTCAAAATCGGGGAGGTCTCTGGAAAATTCAGGAAGGTGCCTTAAGGACACTTAAGCTCAGCAGTTCATGAGCTATTTCCACAGTCCACGGCAAAAGATTTGCAAGTTCAGTTTTGGTTAAAACATGAAAGTTCTCTCCCAGGGACCTGTCCCAAAGGATGCAGCATTCCAGAGGGCTCAGAAAGGACTTTTGAATTGTTTCTAAAATGATTAACTCAGAGCAAAAGCTGCACAACCTAAACATATTTACTGATTGCAATGGTCCATCTATTTAAAAGTGGGTATTAATTTAATGGATATGTTTTTTTCAAATATATTTTGTTCAGTTCTCTGGTCTGTGTCTCTTAGGTTTGTTTTCATAGAAGTCTTTTTTTTTTTTTCAATCCTCAATACACTAAATCACATTTAAAGTTGTTACTGGAAGATGCCCAGTGATCATAAGATTATGTTAAACCTGATCATCACAGTCCCTCAAAGGAAATGGCATAAAATTACATTGCTTTGATAATTACTTGTAAATTTTGAAAGATATTGTCATAACAAAAATATATCAAATTTTGGTGATCTCATATAAACTCTAAAATAAGCTAACAGAAGCTGAAGATTTATCAGCATTTTTGAGAATTAGTGCTCAAATACATTTAAAGATTTTTTTAAGAAAATATAGCATATCTTTAATGATAACAATTCTGGAAGCCTGCTCTTAACGGGAAAAAAAGGAAAAGCATTATAGCTATATATTATACACTATATATTATTTAAAATTTTAAAAATTAAATATCAAATAGACTATTATTTATCATGTCAGCATAGAAATAGGCTGTTTTTGGAGTCAATGCCCACCTGAGAAGACAGTTAGTAAGGTAAGAGCCAGGACGAGCACGGGCAACGTCTTCATCCTGCTTTGGTTCCTCTCTGCTTCTTGCTAAGTGAATCCTCCCAGACTGAGTCAGCCTACTTGAAGGAAGCCACCCCAGGCCCTACGCTTGTTTATGCTTTGACTAACAGGACTTACAGTATGATGCTGAATGTATCTGACTCTGAGCGTTTTAGTAATTACCACTGAAATATTTTCCTCCAAATTCCTGTCAATTTTTATCCGGAGGAAGGAAATCATTCCTCTGTAATATGACTTTCAGAGCTTGGATCTGAAAACACAACATGTGATACTCACTTCATTTAAACAGACAGATAATATGCACCAGACAGAAGTTTGCATTTCTCTGGAGCTTCTGTTTATGCTCCTGTTTCACTGAGAATTCATGATCTATTACATGTTTGTGTCTTTTATGACATTTTCCAAAGCCCATTCGCCAGTCTAATTTGATCTTCCCAATAATCTCAGAGGTAGGCAGGGAAATTAACAAGGGGCATGATGAGTGGGAAAAAATAATTTTCAGCTGACTTTGGAGACAGAAAAACTGAGTTCAAATCCTCACTTCAACTGTTTCTAGCAACGTAACCTTAGGTAACTGGTAGACCCTTTCTGAAATTCAGTTTCCTCCTCTGTCAAAAGGAGGTAAGGAGGTAAGAGCAACTATCTTGCGGGGTATGATAAAGGATGAGGAGAACGCGACGACCTTCGTGGCAGCTAGTACTACTCATAATCTATTTCCATTTTACAAATAAGGAAAGTGAGATTCAGAGATGTGAAATCAAGATCAAATTCACACATTACGTCTGCCAAGATAAAGCCTAAGTCTTCCGTCTTCAAACCTAGAACATGTGCTCTTCCCGGTAAGCCCCATAACCTCAGGGACAACTCCTCATCTTTTACAGGGCCTCATTAAACATACTGTCATAAGACTGGAACCAGCCGTGTTCCTAACTCGAGAGTATTTTTATTAAGACAATAAAAGGTTAAGAAATCAAAGTCATTTTAAATTCAAATCATCTATAAATATCACATGAAGAAAGTTTTTTCTTCTGGTTTGGTTTGGTTTTGAGATAGGGGTCTCGCTCTGTCACCCAGTCTGGAGTGCAGAGGCTCACTGCAGCCTCTAACTCCCAACCTCAAGCAATCCTCCCACCTCAGCCTCCCGAGTAGCTGGGATGTAGTCACTACAGGCATGTAGTCACGACACTCACGTAACTTTTTTATTTTTTTATTTTGTAGAGACAGGATCTCACTAGGTTGACCAGATTGGTTTCGAACTCCTGGGCTCTAGTGATCCTCCTGCCTCAGCCTCCCAATGAGCTGGGATTATAGGCATAAGACACTACACTCAGCCTAAGAAATTATTAAATATGTGATTAAAATATGTCTGGAAGGCATGTGACATGTATTTGGATAAAATTCTCTATTCAGAGAAATGATCTGATGTTTCTGTGGCCAGTTTGCCAGCTCAAAAGAAAACAATCCCTATGTGTATCTCTCCAAATTTATGCTAATGTGTAACTGATATTAAACCTGAATGTGCTGCCCACACAGTTGGCATAAAGCTTTTTTGAGCAGATTTTAAACAAGGAAAAAAAATCATGCAATGTTAGCAAAATTGCCTCACATGTTAATTTTTTTTTTTTTTTTTTAGATAGGGTGTCATTCTGTTGCCCAGGCAGAAGTACAAAGATGCAATCACAGCTCACCATAGTCTCAACCTCCTGAGCTCAAGATCTCCCATCTCAGATGCCTGCGTAGCTGGGACTACAGGTATGCACTTCCATGCCCAGCTGATTTTTTTTTCTTTTTTGTAGGGATAGGGGCTCACTATCTTGGCCAGGCTGTTCTCAAATTCCCAGGCTTAAGTGATCCTCCTGCTTCGAGTGCTTCAAGTGCTGGGATTACAGGCAAAAAAGAGCCACTGCACCTGGCCCATTTGCTTAAAATTTGATATTTTGTTTCATGCACTCTGTTGCTATTGACATCCTTATGTTTTCACATAATCTTCAATAACTAAGAAACTTTAGAAGCATTTTGTTTTGTTTTTGAGAAAGGGTCTCCCGCTGTCACCTAGGCTACAGTACACTGACACAATCCTGGCTCACTACAGCCTCTACTTCCCAGGCTCAAGTGATCGTCCTACCTCAGTCTCCCTAGTAGCTGGGACTACAGGCATGTGCCACCATGCCCAGCTAAATTTTGTATTTTTTTGTAGAAATGGGTTTTGCCATGTTGCCCAGGCTGGTCTCTTGAGCTCACGCGATTCTCCTACCTTGGCCTTGCAAAGTGTTTGGATTACAGGCATGAGCCAACACATGCAGCTAGTAGCATTATTTAAAAAAAAAAAAAAAATTGTCATGTTAAACATCTTGAGTTTTGTATGTGTATATTCAAATTTTCCACTCCTTTTAGTCTTTGTGGTTGGATAAAAGACTATTTTGTTTTTATTACATCAAATAAATATCTTCTGTGGACCAGAAAAAGAAACCTATACTTAGGTATAAATTTCTAATGTGTCCAATGTAAATTTACTATAAATTTTGTGGCCAGTTATAGTGGCTCACACTTGTAATCTTAACACTTTGGAATTCCAAGGCCAGAGGATCACTTGAGCCCAAGAGTTCAAGCTTGCAGTGAGCTATGATCATGCCACTAGCCGCAAGTCTGGACAGCAGAACAAGACCCTGTCTCCAAAAAAGAGTATTTTTTTTAATTTGGCAACTTTTGTCTATATCAGCATTGTCCAATAAAAACATAATGGGAGTCACAGCTGCAAACAACATATGTAATTTAAGTTTTTTCCGTAGCCAGTTTTTTTTAAGTAAAAAGGTTAAATATTTTAATATATTTCAATATGAAATATCCAAAATATTAATAATTAAAATAACCAAGGTTATTTTAACACATAATATAAACTAGTTATCAACGAGAGATATTATATCCTTTTTTTGTACTAAGCCTCCCAAGACCTGGTGTAGATTTTCCGCTTACACATTTCAAGTGCTCAGGGGCCACATGTGGCTAGTGCTACCATGTTAGACAACATGGGTCTAGATCCTTCTGTCTCTATTGACACCACCCAAGTCTAGGCCACTGCTTCCCTCACCCAGCTTCTGGCACCAGTCTCCCAAATGAGATTCTAGTTTCCCTCCCTGTTTGCTTCAATCCATTCTCCAGGCAGCAGCAAGGATGAGATAGAAAATATCAGTTAGACCTCATCACTTCCCTGCTTAAGAATCTTTCATCATCTTCCCACGAGAATCAGAAAAAAATTAGATTCCCTACCAAGCAGGACGGCCCCTGTGTTACACATGCCTAGTGCCCTTTCCAGCCTTACTCCAGCCACTCCCCTCCTGCTCACTGCCATCTGGCCACACTCACTTACTTGCAACTTAACAAGCCCACTCCTGCCTCAGGGCCTTTGCATGAGCTTTTTCTCCCTCTTTTAACGACTGGATCCATCCCATCCTTCAAGTTTCAATTTGAAATTTCTCCTACTCAGGAAAGCCTGCCCTTACCCGCCTTCTTAATAAAACGTTCCCTGCCCACACCACCACCATTACTCTCCATCTCACGGCACTCACCATAATTTATGCATATCACATTTATCTGTTTACTTTTTTAAAAAATCTGTCTCCTTCACTGGTAAGCTCTAAGCAAGCTTGTGTTACTTCTATAATTTTTTAAAGCACAAGGAAACCTCTGGTGGACTGGGGTGGTGAGACTGGAGAGAGTCAGGGCCCATATCACAACCTAGGAGGCTGCTGCAGGGTCTCAGGTGGGGAGGGCCGTTCAGGTGTGATACTGGCAAGGCCATCAAATGCCCTTCAATTTTGTCTCTGGAGATATTGTCCCAAAAGAAGCAGTGGGGTGGAATAGAGAAAGACCAAAAAAAACAAAGTTTCTTATTGTGAGTGTCACCGGGTTGGTGAGAATTCTCTTCTAAACCCATCCCCATTCTCAGGAAAAGCCCCAGCGGGATAACTAGATGAGTCGGCAAAGCTCCCAGTAGAAGACGCAATTCCCAATAAATCCACAAGGTGGCAGAGTAGAGAGTGGAACCAGGGACAACTAAGATCCGGGAAAGAGCTCAAGGCCACCAAGGTTAATTATTCAAGAAGTTGCCAGCAGTTCCAGTGAATCTCCTGGAGGTGGAGAGAGGTGGAGCAAAAGGGTGCTGCTGCACCTAAAACTATTTCCCTTTTTTATTTTAATTGATGTACTACTTGAAGGCCTTCATCACATGTTGTGGCCTAGGAAAGCGGTCCTGTAAGTCCTCACAACATCATTGCTGATAAATCTTTGGAAACTGCAACTTTAAGCCAAATGGTCCAGAGTGAACCAATTTTACCCTAAGCTAATTGATATTCACAAGAGGTAAGTTCCTATGGCATATTTCTGGTCACAAAACATCACCAAACTTCTAAGGACCCAATACATTTCTAATATCAAATGCTGAAGGCAATACATATAATTAAGATCAATTAATAAAAATAAGTAAGATGGTTATTAATATTTACCCACTTATTCCAGTTCAGGGCCGTGGTGGCTGGAGCCTGTCTCAGCAGCTCAGGGCACCAGGCAGGAGCCCAGAGGACACCATTCCATTGCAGGGCGCACTCTCACACAGCCACCCACACTCATTCAGGCTGGGACAATTCAGACACACCAATGAACCTAATGTGCACAGCTTTGGGATGTGGGAAGACACCAGAGTACCCAGAGAAAACCCACACAGACATGGAAAGAACATGCAAACTCCACACAGACAGTGGCTGGAGGCTGGAATCCATTTTTTTTCTCATCAGCATTGTAATGAAACAATGTTGAAGGAAACAATGTTACTTGAGGACCTGCTGTGTTACCAAGTTGACAACATTTAAGAGCCTATAAAGAAAAAATGCTACCACCCATATTCCCAACACCTGAACACAACTAATATTTTCATTTGGGTGAGTTCCCTTTTTTTTTTTCTTCCAAAAGAACTGTCCAATTACTAAGGGTCATTGAGAAATGACAAACCCAACATTGTAGAGTTCTAAATGTCATCACACTGAACTAAAGAAACTTTAGACAAGAGAACTTTGTTTTTTTGTTTATCGAGGGTCTTGCTCTGTTGCCCAGGCTAGAGTGCAGTGGCATAATCATAGCTGACTGTAGCCTCATCCTCCTGGGCGATGATCCTCCTGCCTCAGCTTCTCAAACAGCTGGAACTACAGGCGTGCACTACCATGCCCAGCTCATTATTTTTTTTGTACAAACAGGGTCTTGCTATGTTGCTCAGGCGGGTCTTGAACTCCTGGGCTCCAGTAATACTACAACCATGGCCTCCCAAAGGAGCATTTTTTTAAATTATAGAAAAATGCCAAATCTGTCCCCATCAAGAGAATTATAATGTGCCCACATTCTTTAGGCCCAGGGTCAATTAAATAAATTATAAAAGTCCTTTCCATGGTTGTTTTCATCTTTTTTACTGTTTACCTTACGTGTACATTGTAAAGAATTATATGTACATCATTAAAATATGGAATTTATAGTCTAGTTTGTAGACTACGGTATTTTTTAAAACAATGATAATAACTCCATAAGCTGTGTGTGATGCTTGTGGGTCTAGATCCTTCCATCTCTACTTTCACTACCCACATCTAGGCCACTGTTAACTCTCCTCAGCACCAGGCTCCAACTGGAGTCTCAGCTTCCCTCCCTGTTCCTTCAATCCATTCTCCATGCAGCAGCAAAGATGACCCTCATGAAATAGATGTAGAAAATATGTTAGACCTTGTCACTTTGCTTACCTGTAAACATGTATTTACAGGCACACTGTGCAGGCAGATGTTAGGTTTGGGCAGGTGTGATAGATGAAATTATTGCCATCAATTCTTCACCACGACCCCAAATTTATGCTCTCTGACACATGACTTTGCAGTCCCGTGCCTTGACTTTGGACTCAACCAAATGACTTGTTTGGGGCAGTGGGATGGTGGCAGACAAGACACTAACAAGGATGTGAAATGGTTTGTGCAGTTAAGTGTGCCCTCTGGCATTTCTGTCATTG